GGGTGGGTGATGGATGATATCTATTATAGGTATCACGACCACAAGTACACGCAGAGGGGCACTGGTTCCTACTCACAGCTCTTCCACCTGCTTCATGCGCACAGACACGCTGCAGGCCTCCTTGGTGACAAGCCTGCACAGCGGCAAGGCAAGGCGAAAGCACAGCAAGAAAAGATTAAGTAGTTAAATACAGAGATAGGACAGCAGAGGAAACAGGACAAGGGGCCAGGAGCAAGGTAATTAGTGTTAAACAAATGGATGGAAGTAAAGAAAGACTAAAGTGCAGAGCAGACAGGTTAAAGTGGATTAGTGGACCCGATTCTGAAACAGAAGAGTTCAGGCTGTGGGTTTCTTACTGATTTTCAATCTGGTCTTGGCGAAGTGCAATGCTGCCATGTTCATCCAGCAGGTTCTCCCTGGAAGAGGATTGGGTGGGGTCGAGCTTCTTCACATAAGCAGCAGGAACGAAGCCCTGGCGATCATTCACCTCCACTTTCCACCAGTCCTGCAGCAGGGGAGAGATGAAGTCATTAGTATGTAATGTGGCGGGGTGGACGAGAGTCAGGCAGTAGAGCTGGTCATCTACTAATAGGAAGGTTGGTAGTTTGATCCCTGGCTGCTGCAATCTGCATGCCAGATCTGCAATATCCTTGGCCAAGATACTAAATTACGATATTTACTGATGCTTGACTACTTCACAGTGCCGTACCTTGTTAGTGCTGTTGAGGAGAGTGAGAATGTCTCCTTTCTTCATGGTAACTTCACGTGGGCTCTTCTCCTGATAGTCATACAGGGCCAGGACCAGCTCCTTCCCGGTCTCATCATCGGTTGGTGCAACTTGTTGCTGTTTAGTTAAAAGAAACTTGTTACCGATTTGTGTTCTGCGAATAGACAGTGATGCTTCAGAACAGATCAGAATTCAGGGACTTTTTAAACTTACCCTGCAGGACTGGGCCTGCTCCTTCAGGGACTGGATACTGCTGCCGTAAGCGCTCAGGTCAGACATCAGGGCTTCGTGCTTCTTTAGCAGAGCCTGTGGAGAAGAAACAACTCAGCACAACTACATTTCTCACAAAGGGAACTAATTGGAAGCTTTAAGCCCACTTTAACTTTTAATAGAGCAAAAACAAAACACAAAAAATAACAAAAACCCCCCAAAACTACATCATAAGATTTTAAACTTTAACAGCACAACAATAATTCATTGGTAGTGACAGTTACAGTGGTGTGAAAAGTGTTTGCTCTCTTCCTGATTTCCTATTTCTTTGTATGTTTGCCACACTTAAATGTTTCAGAACATATTTAAATATTAGACAAAAACTTTTTCACACCACTGTATATTCTTCTGTTGTAAAATCTGTACCTCAGCTGAGTCCTCGTCTTTGCCATAGTCTGGGCTCCCAACAATGGGTTCCTTTTCCCTCATCCAAGACTCAGCCTCGTTAGCATCAGCAAAGTATTGCTGGGCCTGCAGAGAGTCCTCAAGGTCCTGTCTCCTCTGGGAGGCCTTGGCCTTCAGAGTGTCCCAACGCCCATGCAGCTCAGCCAGCTTAGCCTTCACATCCTCACCAGCAAAGTGACCTGGACACCACACCCATGAAACCTCAGCTGTTTTGTTTTTCCCACTGTTGCAGTGATATTTTACTTGCATTTAAACATCACCATCATCTCACTGAAGATAACAGAGGAATCTTAGGATTTAAATCAATACCTTCCTCCACCATAGCTTCTCCCTTCTGGGTGACAGCCTTAATGCGAGGCTCGTGACCTGTGATTTCAGCCTGCAGAGCCTGGTGCTTCTTCAGCAAGTTCTGGACACCGATCAAGTCTTTGCCTGAGAAAAAACGTCAGA